AACATTTTTCTGTTCTTTAAATTGTTTTCAATCTGTAATTTGTATTTGACAACTACGGTATTAAACAGATGGATACTTCCACCTACAGGGTGAAATAGCATCTGTATTTTTCATCTGGAGGCTGAACACATAATTATAAACCACTCTCACTGAACCAAGCTGTCCGTGACAGCCAGGATCTAGAGCCACCAGCTGCACAAAATGTCCACTGCTTGTTTGCAAACATGGGGCATTTATAAACATATCCCCAGCGCAGGACATTGTGATGGGGAATGTTTATATACAGATTACAGACAGGAAGGGTTTAATGTAGACATTGTTGTAGGGCATGGGTGCCCACAATTTTTGTGTTAAGATCTACTTTTCAAATGACGAGCTACATGAGATCTACCAACTAAACAAAACCTCCCTTGCTCTCTCTCCCCTGGCTGTCTCTCCTGTCTCTCCTTGCTGTATTTTGCAAACAGTGTAGTGCAACAGGCTGTGTAAACTAATATTCTTTGATGTAACACTTCAACCACCAGTATCCACCAGAGAGGTGTCAGGGAGCTTGGCTCAGCAGACTCAGTCTAATAGGTAATCATGTGTGCACAGCGAAATAAATGGAATAAAGGGGCTGCCATTCACACCCTTCGTGATCTACCAGCATCAACTTTGAGAGCTACTGGTAGATCACGATCTACCTAATGGGCACCCCTGTTGTAGGGTATCGGGCAACTCCATTTACTTTTTAAAAACTGTGAGTCTGCCCACTGTAGTTTTGTTCCCTGGAGTATTGAAGGCTATAGACAGCCTCCCCTGGAAACCCTTGGCTCACATCTCTTCCTGTCCACACTGATCCATTCCACATATTTATTTCCTGGTCATCTTTACTCTCCTTCTGTCCCCTCACTATTCTCTGTGACCTATTGTGCATTTCATCTGTCCTCCTCTTTGCTATTCTCAGCTACAATTATGTGTGTCTGGAGGGCAGGAGATGCTTGTTGCCTCGTGATTAACAAGATACTGCAACTCTGTCCACTATGAAAATGTAGACAATTGCTGCTGCCTTGGGACTAATGAAGACTCATAGTTAAGAGATAATCTGGTAAATGAGAGCTACCATTGTTAACTTCATTTTGAGGGGGCAAGTCTCAGGACTGTCATCCTTATCCACAAGTAGCGGATATCTGTCCCAGCACCTGATCCAATACCTAATCTTTTTCCAGGAATAGGTTTACCTGTGCAGCATGCATTGTTGGTGGAACCTAAGCATAAGTGTGTGAAACAGATTAAGGTATATGTTAACAAGATAAGTGGCTGAGGCATCTGTCATCTGTCTGATAAATATGTAGGTGGTGCTCTTGAAAATGCTAATCACCTAGGTTTGCCTGGCTTCAACATCAGAATAACAGCCAGGAAACTAACATTATGAGGAGAGGTCAGCAATGATAGCCTGGGGATTTCTGTATTGGCAGATGTACTACTAAGCTTGTAACAGGTATGACAAGAATGCTGTGCAGAGGGACACCTGTCCTTGCACATGTTGCTCCAACACTGGTACCTACTGCAATTTTAGCCCAGCAAAGCTGAGGTTCGTCTTGTCTAGGGCAGCACAAAACCTAAATACACCGCTGCCTGTGATCCCAGAGCCTCTAAGATGATGCATTCTATGGCATATAGGATTCTCTGCTCCTGAACTCTACCTTTCTGGTAAGTTATCTGGCATTCAAGCAAACAATTTACAAGAGTGCATTGATTAAGGCTAGGAGAACATTCTGTACCTTGTATGAGTGGGTCCTACCGGTGGCTCTGATGCTTCACCATTCTCTGTAGAAAATTTAAGGTATTGGGAACCATTTACAAGAATTCACTAAGGCCAGGTGAGCATTCTGTACTCTGCATGAGTGGATCCTATTGGGGGCTCTGATCCTTCACTATTCTATGTAGAAAAGTGAGGGATTGGGTACAAGTTAGAAAATCATATTGTGCAACAATAACAGCAGAAGAGACTCATTATCATCACCTAGAACTTCAGAATTGTCCCAGTAATTGTACTAGATGGATGCAACTGGGAGCTTCTGGTTAGCGAGACTTTTATGGTCAGCCTGAGTCGCTGTCCTTGATTTCCCAGGTTTTTAGGGTTTGTTACGGGAATCTGTCCATGGGTTTTCAAAACTCACTGCACAATAAAACATGTTCTTAGTGACTGAGCTGGTGGAGAGATCACAAAACTCTCTCTGTGACCAGCTCAGCGATACAGAGACCAGCCGCACTTGCCACTTACATACACTTCACTTAACAGCCTTAATGCCTGGGAAGCTGTGAAGGAACGTGGCTGCGGCTTCCCATATCCAATCAGGAGGCCGGGTGTGTGGTTGACCACCTGCCAGGATCCCTGCTTCATTATTGCACCCCGCTGGAAGTGGTAAGGGACAGCTGCAGAGATGGGAATTTGGGATACCTCGGGGGGGTTGAAAACAGTGTTGCAGTGTGTATGTGTGTATATATATATATGTGTGTGGTTGTATATTCCATACAATAATGCAATAGACTGAGCATGCCTATGATACTAGCCACCGCTCCAAACTCACTCCCGTGGTGAGCTACAATCTTAATACACATTATTAACCACCTCCCGTCCATGGCCGCTCCTGAACGGCCAGACGGGAGCCTTAAGGTGCCCACACACCTTGCGATAAACGTACGATAATCGCGGGAAATCCCACGATCGTACGATTATCGTAAGGTGTGTTTATCTTAGGAACATGTTCGAAAACATGTGTAGCATGTTCGTAAGATAAAAGCCGGACGGGCCGGTGTGCGCAAGCACACACTGCCCGTTCGGCATTGCGGTCATCGGAAGCCCGCCCCTCAGCGGGGCGGGCTTGTGATCATCACAAGTACGATCTGCCTGTCCAAGACCACCATCGCTGCCGGTCCGCCATCTGCTGTGCCCGGTGCGGCTGGGACCGGCACGGCGACTCTGTTACTGGAGATCAGTAAACGATTTACCTTTGATCTCCTCTCCGGTACCCAAATGCAGGAAGTGATGTATATTACATCACTTCCGCACAGGGCTGTAGCTACCATGGGGCGAGTGAGGCGGGGCGCATGACGTCACATACCGCACACGTCTGTTGGCACAATTTTCTGTTCTTGCCTCGGGCGCAGAAGGAGCTAGCTACGGCTCTGCTTCCGCATTTAGTGTCACTCTCCGGCAACAGATGCCGATGAGAAGCTGCTGAAGCAGATCTCTGCTTCAGCAGCTTCTCTGGGGGTCCCTAGGTGACATTAGGGGTCTTGGAGACCCCTTATGTCTCCATAAAGAGGACCTGTTATGTGAATTGGCTGTCACATAGGGGTTTCTTAGCCCCCTATGTGGTAGCAATAAAGTTAAGTGTACAAAAAAAAGTTTAAAAAAAATTAAAGCATAAAAAAATAGTCACAAAAAAATAAATAAGTAAAATAACACAATTATTTTTTAAAACTCCCCCCACATACACACGCAAACATGCATCGGGTGCACCTACGTGCGAAAACTATTCCGCCTATTGTGCCGCACATGTTACATGTCGCCATGAATATCGCAGTGAGAGCAATAATTTTAGGGCCATTAATCACTGATAACACTAAGCTGATGAGCGGTAAAAGCTTTTAAAGCGTCACCTATGGCCAATTTTGGGTGTGGTCGCTTTCTGCAATTTTAAGGCTTACCATGTTTGGTGTCTATTTACCCTACGTGCCCCCGTCTTTTATATTTTACCAAAAAATTGGGATGATAATAAATGTTTCATAACATTTCATAGGGAAACCCGTTTTTTTTTCTTCGACATTTAGGGTACTTTTTTGTTATATAGTAAAACATAAAAACCCCAGTGGTGATTAAATACCCCCAAAAGAAAGCTCTATCTGCCCCTCCAAAAATGGTATAAAACTCATTTCAGTCAGTCAGTAACGCAGCACTGAATACTGAAAAATGGCCTGGCCAGGAAGGGGGTTTAACAACCTGGTCTTCAAGTGGTTAAACTAAAGGCTCGTTCACACCATGTCCAGACCAGAACATTTTTGTCGGTACCTGAAATGCATCCCAATGTATTGCTATTGTACATTTGGGCTCTGTTCACACAGGCAGCCCATTCTGGTGCGGGGGGAAATCCTACACGCACTATTTTTTTTTCTAGTCTGGCACGCACCAAAACGCACAAGACTGCGTCAACAACGCACTGCACCGTGTTTGCAGATCTGGTCCGCGTATGGTGTGAACAACCCATGAGATTGTAGTCCATCCCGGGAGTGAGCTTGGAATGGTGGCTACTTTACAACACACACAGGGACCATGGGGAACAAAAATATTCACCCTCCAGAAGGAAGGACAATGTCAGCACCAATTCAGAGATGATTTGAGAAGCTACAGCTGAGTGATATTTATTTATATAAGATGTAGCTCCTGAGTTTAGTGGCACTTTCAGGACCAGTGCTCAGGAGCCCAGCTGATTCTGCAGGAAACTAAAACTTTTACACATCAAGGAGCGGCATCCATTGTAAGTGATTTCGTCAGCATTTTAGATATCTTAAAAACCTTTTGGCTAATATCACTTTTTTTGTATTTATTTTTGTAACCAGCTGATTACAAAACCCGTTTTGAAGAAAGCTCTCCTGGTATATGAGGCTATGGGCAGCTTAGTGACTGTGTTTCCATCCAGTTTAATCATCCTACATTATCAGTACTCTATTGTTCCACTGAGTGCACACCCTGCACAGTGAGGGAGCCCTTCTCCCCTCTCCATCCCGGCTCTTCCAGTGACAGCTGTAAGGAAGAAGCCATTGGGCTGGTCAGGTGACCCCGGAGGAATGCTGTGGATGGGAATTACAAGTGTGTGTGGGGGGAGACGATCTCCGAATCCTCCCGTCCTCTGCCGCGACTCCCCTTGGCGTTCTCTACAGCCTTATTGACGGCCTCCTCCGCCAATGACAGCGCAGCTCCTCTGCGCCTCGGCCAATCAGAAAAATCGGGGAGCCCAGAGAGGCTTCGTTCAACAAGAAAAAAAGAATCGGAGGGAATGAGCAGAAAAGTTGGGCAGTTGTTGGCAGCGGAGCCGGGTCACCATGCTGGATGGGTGAATGGTGAGCAGTGCCAGTGAATGGAAGTGTCTGCAGGGTGCTGGGCTCCGGATGGTGAGTGTGCCTGGCAGTGGGGTGTAGTGACGTGTCTGCAGCTCTCCCGGTGCCATAGCTCTGCATTGTTTTCTATAGAGTGTCGGGAGTTCATCTAGTGGGCTGTATACCTCGTTCAATAACATTGCATCTTCTGATTCCTTTCTATGCCCTAGTTCATGGATATTGGGATACATTTTGTTATGTATTGTGCAGGTCACGGAGGCT